TTCTCAAACTTTCTCTTATAAGCACATTGAGTTAGAGATTCCTATAACAGGATTGGATGGAAGTCTCACTGAGGTGAACATCACAAAAGCTCCAGATTCAAGTGCATTTTTTGTATATAATGAATTTGTTTCATTAATGGGCCATTCTACACATGTAGAAATGCTAGCTGAATCATTTGTTGATACACGGTTACCTTTAAGTCTGGTTACTGAGGAGAATTTTAGTCCTTTTAGTAATTTATGATGTTGGAGAAAATGCTTATGGCTTTGCAGTGTGGTTCAGAAAGCAATCCACAACCCAAAATCGCACCATGGTTTGGATTTTCTTATTGGATTTTCATCAGAACCCTTACCTATTGGATTTTCTTCTTTCAATGAGGTCCTTAACCCCCCACGTAATAACATGAAATAAGGGATAAAGGAAAAAGGGGGGGGGAAGCAGTGGTAGCTGTGCCCGGTTTGAATGAGAAGCAGCAACCGAAGTTGCCTGGTYTGATAGAGGAAAACAACAGCTGCTTAGTTGCTGGTTAGAGCAAGAGCAAAGGAGGAAAACAGCAAGCAAGTTGCTGTTTGGTCAAGCAGCAGACGGTGAAGAAACAGCAAGATCGGGCAGCAGACGGAGGAGAAACAGCAAGCAGCTGCTGTTGATCGAGCAGCAGACGGATAAGAACAGCAAGCTGCTGTTTGATCCAGCAGGRGACGAAAAAGGAAGAAACAACAGGTKGTTATTTGACCGAACARCAAGAGGAAAGGAAGCTAGCAGCCGCTGTTTGGTCGTGCAACACTCGAAAATCGAAGCAGCAAGGCTGCTGGTTCGCGAGGGGCTGTACTATTTCCTTTTTGCTCAATTTTGGATGTTGTTTCTTTTGAGGGTGTTATAGATACYCTTCTTCCCAATCAACCTTTTACTGAAAACACACACACAACTTGTTTCTTCAAGAAGTTCTACTAATCACTCTTTGCCTCTTTGGGTTTCWATAAGGTTTTTTTTCGATATTGAGAACATTCTTCAACTTCTTTAATCTTTACACTGGTCTAGGAACAAGAACTATTTACTGGCCTAATCTTAGGGTTTTGATTTCAAAACAAAAAGTGCAGCAGAACAGGGGAGAAGACCAATGTCCAATCACCAATGGTTTAATTTTATAACTTATCTCTATACTCTACAGCTGGTAGGAAATTCAGRACATATTAGGTTACAGAAGGACTTACCGTCGTCGAGAGCTCGCCGCCTGCGTCGCTGCAGCGGTGCTGCTGCCTGCGGCCTGCCTGTCGTCGTCCACTCGTCGCCTCGTCACTCATGACTCTCGTCGATGTCCGCCTTCCGGCTTTCGCTGTCATCTGCATCGTTGCTGGATCAAGAGTGGACTAAAGAGTGGAGGGGCCGGTTGATTTTTTGAGTATACTTCAAGCATATGGACCAAGAACAATACCCTATCTAGACAAAAAAGCACAGGGGCCAGGGCCCCTAAAGGCCCCTTAGGCCATCCGCCCCTGGATAGAAGATAACTCTATAAATTATTCGTATGTCTTGATTTTAATATTTTATTTTATTATTTATTTTTATTAATTTATAATACGATTCAATTGGAACATGAAAGCGTGACTAAATTGGTTCAATAAGTGGAACGCATTAGCTGTCCGTTGTCAGGTTGGGAATAAAATATAAATTTAAAAATATCATAAAAATTTTAAAAAATATATCAATATTAATATCTTCTATTTTTTTATGTAATTTCTTTTTTATTATAATTTAATTTAAGTTTAATAATAAAATAATTTATTTTGGTTTAATAATATAATATTTTATAAATATAATAATTAAATATTCTATTAGAACCTAATTATATTTTAGATTTTTTATATTTAAAATAAGATATTTATCATGTATTTGATTATGTTTATCCGTAGTTATTTACATGAATTCATATATGGAGCTTTAATAAGTTGTATTTACGCACAATCTACTTGCAATCTTGAGTTTTAAGTAATACGCATTAATAAACGTACTTTACATATAAAAAGTGGTTTTTAAGAGTTTTTGTGAAATGTTTTATAATATAGTATAAACTATGTGTTTTTAAGAAAACAATAATGATTTTATTTTTGAATAAAATATAAATTTGAAGATATCATACAAAATTTAAAAAAATATCAATGTTAATATCAAATCAA